AGCAAGAGAAAAATGGAAGATAAATAGGATTGACACGTGAACGTGAACTTCTCATAACTGGAAGATAAATAGGATTGACACGTGAACGTAAACTTCTCATAACCATAATTAATTTTTAAATTGTTAAATCATGATATAAAACTGAGTTAATTTTTAATTTGTTAACTTTTAATTTTTTTTAATTTTTTAAATCATTATGCCTATGTTAAATCATGACAATAATTAATTTTAAATTGTTTATTTGTATTCGAAAAACTTAAAATATTGCTTTTAAAAATAATTTTAAATTTAACATAATTTTTTAGAAAATTATTTTTAAAAATTATAATTTTCTATATATATTAATTGAGAAACATTTTAAAAGATGTAACCTCAAGTTTGTATTAATTAAAAAGTAACCTTGCTTAGTTGTCAATCAATTAGCATATCAATTAAATTGACGTGGCGGCTTTAGGTTCAATTGAAATTTGTTAGGGAAAAATAATTAGAGACGCATATAACGCATGTAACATAGTTTATATATTTATATATATCGCACACATGTAATGGAAGAAAAGGAAAATATACGATTTGATAACGATTTGCATATATTAACTATAATAACTTCATTCCTTTTAATTTATGGAAGTGTATATGTAAAATGGAAAATACTTAAATTCAAATAATCATANTGTGCTATATGACTATGTTTATATCATTTAAATTTAATTATATATCATATACAATATATAAGATTGATTATTTTGATTTATTTACCCTAATTGTGAATAAACAAGAGTAATAGTTAAATTTATATGCATACGCCAATTTGTTACATAATAGTAATTGATTTCTTAGTTATTTAATATATATATATTTATTATTTTATTACTTATAATATGCAGAAAAATATAAAAGAAATAATAAATATAAAATACTTATTGTGCATAAAGTGCAGATCTTAACCTAAGTGTTTATCTGTTTAATTATTTTAAAACTTAAATATTTTCTAAATTTCAGGTCAAAACAAACAAACGAAATGAGAATAAAATTCAAAATAAATATTTATATCGAGTAATAACCAAAATATTAAAAAAAAACATAGCAAGAGAAAAATGGAAGATAAATAGGATTGACACGTGAACGTGAACTTCTCATAACTGGAAGATAAATAGGATTGACACGTGAACGTAAACTTCTCATAACCATAATTAATTTTTAAATTGTTAAATCATGATATAAAACTTTGTTAATTTTTAATTTGTTAACTTTTAATTTTTTTAATTTTTTAAATCATTATGACTATGTTAAATCATGACAATAATTAATTTTAAATTGTTTATTTGTATTCGAAAAACTTAAAATATTGCTTTTAAAAATAATTTTAAATTTAACATAATTTTTTAGAAAATTATTTTTAAAAATTATAATTTTCTAATATTATTAGACAAATAAATAAATTATATTAAATTAGTTTAGAAACTTTATATATTTTAATTGCNACACTCCATTTATTTTCCATCACTCGAACACTGAAAAGTAAAAAGATATATGAAATCAGATCCATTAAATTCTAAGATTTGATTTACATTTCTAATTAAAATTGTTTTTGATCATACGTATAGATAATTATATAAAAATTCCAAAATTCTAAAATTTCAAATACATACAAAAACAGTCATATGTAAATTTTAAATTTGTAAATATTAAAATTTTATATTTTAATTACATCTATTCACCCTGCGCAAGGCGCAGGTCTTATCCTAGTTAAGGTTAAAGTTTATACTAACATGTCGAAAGTATCTTATTGATCTTATGAACTAATAAATATCAAAGAATCAATGGATATCAGAGAATAAGAAAATCAGTGGTATTTAGAGTAAATGTTCTATATGTAGAACTTGTAACCCATCACTAATTTTTTTTTTGCAAAAAGTTATCTATTGTGTATCATATTTTATGGATGTTATGGAGTTTATTTCATAAAAAGGCAGTTGTTGAGTTTTTATATCATAAAAAGGCAGTTATTGCTATAGAGGTAGTTTTTCTAACCAAATGAAAACTAGAGTCTAATTGTTTAGTTTCTTTTGGTTTAAGTTAGCAAATAAAAAATAAAAAATAAAAAAACAGATCTGACTTTTTCTTCTCTGAAGAATTTATTAGTCTCGTGATTCATCACCATGTATCATCTTTTTGGAGCTGCAAGCACCGCAGCCAAGCTTCTTCCTCCACTTTTATTCTATAACCTATCCCTGCTATTGGAATGAACTCTCCTCTTCGTCGATACAGGTTCAGATAGACGCAACTCTTGCGTCGTAATCGTCATGCTCGAATCCAAGCGGGTTGATGCTGGACAAAGAAGACATATGGGGTTTTTGTTATAATCTATCAAAACTTAAAAAAATCTGAGAAATTTTTTATTTCCTTTTGTTTTTTGATTTAATTGATTAATGATTACAATATTTTTAAGTTCCTGAGATAAAAAAATGAAGATTGCATGAAAAAAAAATCAATGGCGGCTCTGAGATTGAGTTGCAGAAACACATGATACCTTAATAGGAAGAAGAAGACTTAATTACAAAATTGCCACTCGTTTTAAGAAAATGTGTACAATTATATGTGTACATGTGTACATCTTCACATATGTACACTTTATTATTAAAACAATGTACACTCGTCATATGTGTACACTATTTATTATTAAAGCAAAAACCAAAATTTACATGTGTACAATTCTATGTCTGCATGTGTACATCATCACATATGTACACTCTTTATTATTAAAATAATGTACCATAACCATGTATACATGTGTACGTATTCACAAGTTTATGTACTTCGTAAATATATACATTGATGTGTCCGCCTACTCCCATTTCCACTTCCAAAACTTCAGTCTCCATCATTAGTTGTACACGAAACTGCGATGCGGACAGGAAAAAATGTACACAATCATTTCTGGCAATGTTACATGCAATTTTAACGATGTTTTAACGATGTCCACATGTACACCGTGTAACGATATTCATATGTACACTCTTTATTATTAAAATAATGTACCATGCGGAATATCGTTACAACGGTGTACATGTGGACATCGTTAAAACATCATTAAAATTGCATGTAACATTGCCAGAAATGATTGTATACATTTTTTTTCTGTCTGCATCGCAGTTTCGTGTACAACTAATGATGCAGGCGGACACATCAATGTATATATTTACGAAATACATAAACTTGTGAAGACGTACACATGTATACATGGTTATGATACATTATTTTAATAATAAAGAGTGTACATATGTGATGATGTACACATGCAGACATATAATTATACACATGTAAATTTTGGTTTTTGCTTTAATAATTAGTGTACACGTATGACGAGTGTACATTGTTTTAATAATAAAGTGTACATATGTGAAGATGTACACATGTACACATATAATTGTACACATTTTCTTAAAACGAGTGGCAGTTTTGTAATTAAGTCATCTTCTTCCTATTAGGTTACTCTGCGTTTCTGCAACTCAACCTCAGAGCTGCCATTGATTTTTCTTCATGCAATCTTCATTTTTTTATCTCAGGAACTTAAAAATATTGTAGTCATTAATCAATTAGATCCAAAAACCAAATGGAAAACAAATTTTCTCAGATTTTTTAAGTTTTGACAGATTATAACCAAAACCCCATAGGTCTTCTTTGTCCAGCATCAACCAAACGGAAAAAAAATTTTCTTAGATTTTTTAAGTTTTGATAGATTATAACCAAAACCCCATAGGTCTTCTTTGTCCAGCATCAACCCGCTTGGATTCGAGCATGACGATTACGAACTCCCAATTAACCTAATCTTTCATCCATTAATCTGTTTCCAAATTTACATGTGTACAATTATATGTAGTAAATCGAAGTATGGTGGAGAATTACAGAAGAACCGTAACAAAATTGGAAAGGGAGCTGGGAAGAAGACTTTATCAAACAAGAAAATCTCCACCGTTGAAAAATTCTGTATATATAATTTAATGATTTTAAAAAGAGACATATATATGTCTAATCTACAAGAGAGAATAAATCTAGAACGTTGGATGGAAAAGAGATGAAGGGCTGAGGTTAATTCCCTCTAAACCACATGTCTAGTTACGGGGAAGCTAACTGGATAGTTAATAATTAGGGAAGAAAGTGGGAAAAGTTATAATAAACTACCTTGGTAGCACAAACTGCCTTTTTGTGATATTAAAAACATGAAACTGCCTTTTTGTGATATTCTTTCGATGTTATGTGGAGGAAGATTTTTATGGATGTTATGTGGACCCAATCCTCCTCCATGTGTTTAGCGTGCACCTCTACGACATTCCATCGTTAAAAATAATAAGAGGATATATTAATTGAGATCAACAATCGTACAATCTTTTATCCGGTTAAATATAGTTTCATCGTGATCTCATATTCTCATTACTTGCTAATAACAATAACAATAACTAGATTTTGATCCGTGCAACCGCGCGGGTGTTTGTTTTCGTTTATAGTTAGTTATATTAACATTTTATTTTCACTTGTAAATTGGTATATATTATAGTAATCACATATTTACAATATGTATAGTAAATGTTTTTCAAACATAATAATATTATATAATACGTGTTTTAATCAAATAGATTGTTTGAAATTTTATATATTATACATGTTTTTCAAACATGTGTTTGTTTTTTCTTCTATATTTTATTGTTTGTTAGATTAGTATTTCATTTTAGATAAAGTAATATAAATAGAGCTTGATTAATTACTTCATAAATTAATATTATAAAGAATTTTATTAAAAAGAATTTTTTAAACAATATATTTTTTTAAAACAATATAGTTTTAAAATTTTACATCAAAATAAATTTATCTAGTATATATAGCGTGTAAATTTTGTTAGGGTATATGAATATTCCATATTACGAATATGTGATTTTTGTTAATATATTGTGGATGCAATTAACTATTATTGACATATTTCTTTATAAATAATAGAAGATTCCTAAACTTATATCTATTGACATATTTTGCGTGACTAAGTTGGAAGGTGTGTGGTAATTTACCAAAACTAAATTGTTAAGCGTATCTTTGTTATTATAGATATGATTTTTTATAAAATATAATAATGATAAGATTATTAGAGAGTTAATGTAACATAACTTTTTAGTAATAGTCCATTTTAAAAAAAATTACACATGAAGTCAAGTCATGACTTCTGTTTTAATATATAAGATAAGATGATAAGAAGTTGAGAAATTTAGCATATATATATATATACATTCGCAAACTGACCACTAAAGAAAAAAAATAAAAGGATAGAGCATTTCTAGTTTTAAAATATTTGACAAAAAGATAATAAAAGTACAGAATTTTGCTTCTACAGCATAAAAAGTATATTAGTCAACAATAACAAACAAATAGTTAGACTATTGTATGTATTGTATAATATTAATGACTGTTTCATTTTTTGACACACAATTAAGTTTTTTTAAAAAAAATTATGTTTCCTTATTGATCTTATTTACTTCTTGTTTCATAAATAATAATTAGTTAAATTTAGGAATTATCTTTAAGAAAACACTAGATTTTGACCCGCGCTTTTCAAGCGCGGGTTTATTTTTATTGATTATTTAATAATTTTTTTAATAAATTTATAATTTTTGATGTGAAGACATTTTATTTATAAAATTATATCAAAATGCTCTAGTCTATTGTGGAATTATATATATATATATATGTATATATATAGATATATTATTTTTTTTGTGTGTTATCCAAAAATCTTTTGTTATGTGTTTTGGTAAATATTCTAAATGTTTTTTTTTGTATATTATTGTTTCACTTGAACATAGTGTCTTTTTTATTAGAAAAAATAATTAAAAGTTTGATATGATATGTTTCAATCTCAATTGTAGACCATTATATAAATAATTAATGTTTGTATACTTCAAGATTTATAACTTTTTGTTTATAAGAGAATTGTACTAATATGATGATACTTGGTAATCCAAATAAAAAAGAATTGTGATATGGGCAAATACTTTTATACATACACAATGAAGACAAATGTCTTGTTAATTGGGCTAAGTCCATTTGCAAACAATGAAGACATATAATTACAAAACAGACACGATCCTCTGATCCATGTGTAAAATATAAAACGGTAAATATAACTGTTTAATACATATAAGGAAACGTAACTGTTTAGATGCAGTTACATAAAATCACTTTTTTAAGTAGGTCCAATGGTAAAATAAGTAATATTCCAAGTAATAATAGGGGCAAAAGATAAGAGTGATTCTGTTTTAATAATATTGATAGTTTTTGCTACAATATTTTTCATTTTAAAAATATATATACTTTATAAAATACGTAATATTTGATAAGAATCTATTTTCTATATAAAACATAGAAATTTATTTTATATAAAAATCATAAGTTTTTTTCTATTTTTATATATATTGTAAATGTATTATAAAGTGATCTCTATGTTTATTTTATAGTGAATATAAATATGTAAGATCACATATTAGTCATCATATGGTTTATATTGTAGTGTTTTAGTTATGTTGGATATAACCTATAAAGCCATATCATATGTCTAAACTACTTTGTCAAACAAAAAAAAAAATCACGTCTAATCTCCCATTTTTTGTGTGAATTTACTAAAACACAATTTTATATTCTATAACATATCACATACTATATAGTACTATAATATAATTTCGTAACTTCAGGGCTGCTTTCTTATATTATTTTCTATGGTTATCTTGTATTACATTCATCACATTACTTGAATTTTATGCAACATTTATAATATTTACTTCACTGATTAACCGATATTAACAATTTCTAATAGAATATATTATTCTATATATATTGAAACATTACAAAGAGTGATACATATAATTTTAAATTTATTTAGCTAGTTTTATGATATTTGTAAGTTTAACATATGCTAAATATTGTATGGAATGGTGGAGTCAATTTTTTTAATGAAGAACATACTTGTATAAATGTATAATAGACATTAAACTTCAGTGAACTATATATTTGATTTGGTTATGCATTGATATTATTTTTTTATTTTTTATTTTTTGAAACACGCATTGATGTTATTATATTCCATATATTTTATTGATCACCAATATCCTAACGTCACATTAGACGTATGCAAAAGTTAAAATCGTTATATTGTATGACAAACTAACACATCTTCCAAGTCAAAACTGTATATGTGTATTTTATTTAAATTTTTCTCCAAAATATTATTTTACTAATTCACTCAAAAAGTGACAGTTTCGTTCATATTTTGACTACATATAATTTAATTTGATAGGTAAAAAAAAGGTAGTTACCTTTTACAACAAGCTACTTCGTAAAACGGCGTCGTGTTATAGGTCTATATAGTCGATTTAGCGCCGAAAAGATTAACAACAAAAAAAAAAAAACTAACTTTTTTACCTGATATTTTTAAAACAGGTCGTCTCTTCTCTCTTCCTCCGACCTGGTCACATCCTCGACGGCTCCACTCTTCTATCCAATAGTCTTCCTTCTTCGTCGTCATTCTCAAATCTTTTTGAGATTCTTCTAATTAGAATATCCAAAATTGATCTCTCCTCCTTGACTCTCTATTCCTCTGTATCCACCGGTTTCCAAATCGGAGTCAAACCGGCTCCGATCTTTCTCCAGGGTTCGTAATTTCAATTTCATTTGGTCTGATGGGATCGGAGCCTCGGGATTACCCGAGGCGGAAACTTGTTGACTTGCCTGTTCTTCACAAATTCAAACTCTACAGCACTCACACGGTACCAAAAAAAATCTCATCCACTTTCTCTTATATTTATCTGAATTGCGTTAAATACATTTATGGTTTGATCATTATTTTCCGGTTTGCAATGGTTCGGTTATTGTTGGATGAGACGGTTTGTAGTGTACGGCATGAGCCGTTAACTTGACATAATGTAGAGTCTTTGGTTGTTAAGTTATGTCTGTTATAGTTCTCAAAAAAGGAAAAGATATGTCTGTAATAATAATATAAAATATTTAAAGCGTTTTGCTTTATGGAAAATTCACTTTTTGGTTTTGTTGTTTGTGCAGAATTTTTACTTGATTGGGAGAGACGAGAACAAAACCTTTTGGAGGATACTCAAGATTGATCGAACGGATCCAACAGAGTTGAATTTATTTGAAGATCCTACAAGGTATACACATGATGAAATAGTCCAACTTAAAAAATGGATAAGTAGAGGGAACCAGAAGCATGGTGGCCTTAAAGCTGAGCTAACTTGCTATGGAATCATTGGTATACCTCACTCTTTTTAACACCAAGCAAAAACAATTTTATGGTGTTGTTTTGAACTTATGGAGATTCTCGTGGGTGCAGGGTTTGTGAGATTCTTGGGGCCTTATTACATGCTTGTGATTAAAAGAAGAAAGAAAGTTGGTGATATCTGCGGTCATGCTATTTATGGTATAGCAGAGAGTCAAATGATCATGATTCCATATCCTTCCAGTGAGACAAGAGTGGCTAACTCTTTAGCCGAGAGAAGGTATTTATGTGCAATAAATTAACTCTATTGTGTGAATTTAATTAACAGAAGACACATTCTTGTATGATAGGTACAAAAATCTCCTAAAAATGGTGGATGTCAGAAAAAACTTCTACTTCAGTTACACATATCACCTCATGTATACGCTCCAGAAGAACGTATGCAACTCTGAGAGAGGGAAAATTCACGACGAAACCATGTTCGTGTGGAATGAATATTTAACACATGGGATTAGAGGGATCCTCCAGAATACTGTATGGACAGTTTCACTTGTATACGGTTTCTTTCAACAGGTAAAGCCTATATGAATTGTTTATTCTAGAGATTTTCCAAAACTTTGCTATCTCAAGAAGACCTAATGTATCTACTACTCCTTTGCTTTTTTACAGACCAAGTGTTCAGTATCTGATGAAGAATTTGTATTGACTGTCATTGCTCGGCGTTCACGCCTTTATGCTGGTACAAGGTAATGGACTAGTAGTTTTTTAACATATATGTATTATGTCTCACGGACTAATAGTGTTGATATGCCTTTTGAACTATAACAATCATTGCCTCCTCTCATTGTTAATGTGCAGATATTTAAGGCGTGGTATAAATGACGAAGGCAACGTAGCTAATGAGGTTGAGATAGAGCAGATTGTTATCAAAGAGGTTCCAGAGGGTCAGAAAATCCCAATGACATCAATTGTTCAGATGCGAGGCTCCATACCTCTATTTTGGTCACAGGAGACATCTGTTTTCACCCCACAACCTGACATTATATGTAAGCAACCACATGACATTGTCAGAAAAAGGATCCTTAGTTCCTTATATGTTTCTCTCTTTTACTTGTCACAGTGAACAATAAGGACGTGAATCACGTGGCTACTCGGCACCATTTTGAGGATCTGAAACAGAGATATGGGAAGGTGATAATCATCCTGAATCTTCTAAAGGTTAGGCTTTCTCATTTTCTATTACAAAGTCAAGTATCATAACATTGTGTTTAATTTTTAGATGATTTTAGTGTGTATCTTTGTTGTTTATGATATCAGACAGGAAAACATCGAGAAAACATCTTACGAGCAGAGTTTGGAAAGGCAATTTGGTCTATCAACAAAGGCACAAAGAGAGAGGACCATTTAAAAGCAATCCATTTTGATCTAAACAAACACTACAAAAGGTGCTCTGCTTCATTTATGCACCACATTAAGCATAAATTAGTGATATGGTTTGGTGTCTTTACTCTTAATAAAAATAATTTAACAAATTTTTGCAGTGGAGCTGATGGTGCATTTGAGCACTTGTGTAACTATGGGAAGAGAGCATTGGAATTAATTAGCTTGTTTTTCTGTGAAGCTCCTTCAGGTGTAGGAGCTGAAGGTGTAGTTAAAGACTCATTTTCCAAGTAAGTTTGATATGCTATATACATAGATAAATGAAGTCTTCATGTAAAACAAGAGATGTGTATTCACTACGTCTATATCTAATTGTATTGCATTTCTTTGTAAGTGCTAATACTAATACTACCATGTTCCAGTAACCCTATTCTGAATCAAGATGAAGAGGCAATTATTCCAGAAGAAGAAGAAGATTTGAAGGCAGATATATTTATGCTTCAAAATGGGGTCTTGAGGTCAAACTGCATAGACTGCTTGGATCGTACTAATGTTTCTCAGTATGCCCACGGATTGGTAGCTCTTGCTCGTCAACTGCAGCTATTAGGGATCACAGGACCTCCTATAGTCGATAAGAACAATCCCTTGGCAAAGAAATTGATGGAAGCTTACGAAAAAATGGGTGATGCAATTGCAATGCAGTATGCTGGCTCGGATGCACACATCAAGGTGATTCATTCTAAAACACATTCTTCTTCTAGGCTTGAGATGGATCGTTGAACTATGTGTAACAACTTTATGGTTTAACAGATGTTCAGTGCTTTGAGAGGTGATTGGAACATGATGATGAAGCACCGTGATATGATTACAGCTGTGCGTCGCCATTACAATAACGCTTATCATGACAGTGAAAAGCAGAATGCCATCAATATGTAACCTTCCTTTTAGAAACTTTCTTCTATCTTTTTTTTTTTTACTTAACTTGCTATGTGTTTTCTTTAGTCTAAAGATTTACTTCTCTTGACAGGTTTTTAGGACAATCTGGGCCTCAATTGGGGAGGGCAGCCTTATGGGAGTTGCGGGCTGACCAGCGCAACACTGGAAGAAGTTCTAACCTAGATATAGAAAATCTAAGGTAACTAGTAGTCCAAGGAAACTCTTTATCAGAATTTAAAAGTTGACATTTACTAAACTATCTTCCAATATACAAATAATAACCGCAGGCCAAGAATGTCCAGATCCTTTTCTGATAACCTCCTCTTGGAGGGTGTGGATATTGAGGAGCTGATACATGAAAATCATCAGCCTTCACGTGAAGGATTAAACTGTTGCTGGGAAACCACTTCAAAAGTTGGATTCTTTGAGCCAGAACCAGATACTCCAAGGTGGTTCATCAGAAACTCTTTAACTTGTTTTAAGCATTCATTGTTACTCTTTTTCTGATTCTTCTTCATCTTTGACAACATCTTCAGCGTCAACTCTGAAGATCATTTGAGAGGAACAACATCAAAGCATATGTTTCCAGACAATGGCTCTACGTCTGATTCTCACGAGCTGGATGATGTACCTGGTTTTTCACACTCATATAATGCTAAGTTCACTACCGCAGATGAAATGTTTGAACGTTGCAGGTATAAATTATTATACGTCGTTACTAGAGAGCATTCTGATATATTACCCTGTCATGAGAAGAGGGCACTATGAAAACACATTTACAATATTCAGACATTAACCTTGTTCTAAGTAAGTTGAGTTACATATATATATACAAGCGTGAAGAATTAATGTTCTAAATGTTTCTTGCAGCTCCATGTCGTCAGATAACATGTTCAGCGACATAGCCGAGTCCTTCACTTCTACAGCTGGCACAGACCATTTTGAGGTAATTTCCTTCATATCACCATATCAGTCTTTAACTATTCAAGTTACATGTAAGCTTTGGAAAACAAAAGACACTGACTTTCTCGGGTGTTTTCATTTTTATAGTTTCTTCCAGGTCCAAATCAACCAGAAGATAGATATGTTTTAGTACCTGGCTTCTCAAACGATTTCTGTCAATGGGTGCAATACGGAAGAGCATTGTAAAGGGTGTGGAAATAAAACTGGGCTATTCAGGGGAAGGTTTACTTGGCAGATACGGCAGGGTTGGATAGACATGAATGATAACATGATGCACACAATAACAGCCACATCTTTGTAAAAACCCAACTCAGCTTTGTAAAGGTCCACATTTGTTGTTTCTCTTTTTTTTTCCTACCTAAATTGATTTCTATCTCTTTTCTTATCACCCACAAACTATGATTTTGTTTGTTTTATTTTTGGAATATAGAGTGTTTGGTTTGTTTAATCAATAAAGTGTGTGACTAGAAGAAGTTGGAAGTAACATGCCCGCGCGTTGTATTCAAAATGGCGCTGGTATCTCTTCTCAACCTAGATTTCTTTTTAATATATGTCGCATGAGAGGTTAGGAACGAGAAAGCCTATTAATATATATATGCCTTTCAGTCTCAGCACCATGCACACTCAATGTTAAGCATATCGTGTCATAAGGTATATATAAACCCTTTTTGACATGATGATGGAAAAAGATTTGACATTAATAATACGAAGTTTCGGATTAAATGGTCTTTTAAAGTTTTAAACTATAAAAACGAAGAAAAGGTCCATGAACGCACTTTTTGGAACAACAACAACAACAACCCAACTGCTTTAAACTAAAACGTATTTGTTTGGAGTATTATATATTACTAATATATTTCAAATTTCAATTTAATATTTGATTTCATTAGCTGTTGGCCATTGCCTAGCAATTCGTTTGCTCACCAAAAAGAGAAGGTGTCAGATTTTTAAAAGAAAAATCAAATATTGCAATTATTTTCCTTACTATTAAAAACTCAGTTCGATGTAATTAACTTTAACAAAAGAATAAAAACTTAATCGATTTTTTTTTTGTAACACAGTTCGATAGAGTTGGTATGTTAGATATATTTACATTGCCTGCGAGGCCCTGGGTTGTGTTAAACTTCAGAATTTACAGGTTCTTGGTTATAAAACCGTATGATTCTCCCAATCTACATCAAGCCGGGAGATTTCAATCGTGCAAATAAATTTGTAGTTGTTTAGTTTTGAAATTTATATATCTAAATTACAATGTCAAAAAAGTTATTAATTACTATTTTTACTAAGACAAAAGACACTTTTATTAAATTATAATGTAGTTTCGAGTGTGTAAAAATAGATGTCTATCTTGTTTTTTATTTTTTTTATGCTGTAAATAGTTTTTATATCGGAGATCAAAACTTGATATAATTATTTATATATAGTATTTATATTTGTACTAAATAATTTATTAATTTGAAAATAACTTTAATTTAAACTAATATTTGTTGTTTGGGTTTCATTAGACAGATTTGTATATGTTTTTTTTGTAAGTTTGGATTTTGTTCATGAATAATGTGGCATTTTTATTTACGGCGTCATCGACTGTGGGAATCCATTCATTACATATTCATTTTATAAATAACGAAAAATACTTAAATTTTGTTAATTTTATTTTATTTCACATACATAATTTTTTGAAAATATATATTAAGAAATATGTTTAATAGAAAATATATATTAGGATAGCATAGTGCCGCGTGGGACTTGTTTTGTTTTTTGTTTTTTTTGGGCTATTCGTTTTTTTGATCCATTTTTAATTATTTTTGGGTTTGAATTTGTTAAACTATAGGATTTTTCCTACTATTTTGGACTTTAAACAATAAGTCCAGAGGAAAAAAACATTAAAACCGAAAAATCCATATGATAATAACCCAAACGAAAAAACTAAAATACATAATAGCTGTGTGTTTTGAACTCACACGCTTGTAGACTTAATTAGATCTCTTATACCACTCAGCTAAAGTATATTCATTATTCATGGTCATTTTAGAAAAAACTATAAGTTTTCAAAAATTAAACGCGCGGAACCCACAAAATGTTGACGTGGATATATTGATAAGCTTTGAAAGTATACAAGTTTTTTTTTGAACTATAACATAATATTATTTAATATATAATTATGAGTGAGTGATTTGTTTTTGTTTCTTTGTTATGATCTTTTACATATTCTTAGGAATTTCCTATTGATTCAAAATTCTTAACTCATTGTAATAAATTGTATAGCAAGGATTCCACACGGTTGGTAGAGAATCTAGAAATTAGACCTTTTAAATCGAATGAAATTAGGTGATTCAAAATCCTACACACGGGGACAATTTCCATATATATAATAGGAAATTCAAATTATTATTGAGTGATTTTTGTCCGTTTCTTTGTATAATGTAACGATTAATAGAAATAAGAGTCACTAGACCTTTTAAATTAAAAGAAAAAAAGGCTACTATTGTGACAATTTCCATATGTTAATGGGAAATCATGATTGTTTCCTGTTCCTTGTCATTATCTTTTTCCTTATTTTTAGGACATTCCTTGTATAAATTTGTGATATAAATATCTTGAAATACACAAAAAGTTCTTCTCAAACTGCTTTTTTACATCTAGTGTTTTGGAGAATATATTTTTATTTTTGGTGCAGAGATGGCCCTTAACCCTCCGAGAAATAATATGTAAGTTTTATTGATACAAGACTATTCCTTTGTATTCAAGTAATTGATTATGTGCCTGCGTGTGATTATGTACTGCGTTTTTAGGATTGATGACTATTCTATTGAATATTGATTCTTTGAAACATGTGTGTAGTAGGATTATATATTCTGATGTGCCAGAAAAATTTATAACGCTTTTGAAATTTGTAGATAAATAGTATTGCAAATCCCTATTGTGAAGAAGGATTGACAAAGAGTAATTGAAATTTTTTTTTATTTATACAAAAAGAAAGTTAATCTAGTTTATGTGTTACACTATGATCTCTTCTCGTCCTACACTATGATCTTTGTATTCCGTTTTCATGTCTCGTCCATCTAGGTCTCTTAAATACTTACTATAAGGTGTTTTTAATCTTTAATTATCTTCAATTTCTAGAACTGGGATGGAAGAAAGAGAATCTTGCTTCAACTTGACGCATGAGTATGCCAAGAATTATGTGAGAGAGGTCAAGAGAGAGTTTGTGAACGATGTAAGAAAGAATGCGACATTCCGTCAGCACCTAAGAGATTTCGCGAATAAGAGGTTTGAGGAAACGTACCTAATTTTGAATCTACCAAGTATTGATTTATATGTAATTGACTGGCTGCTTTTGCGTTTCTTGCAGGATCAATGTACATGACTTGATTTCTCAGGTGAAAGAGTTGTTTCAAGGACACCAAAAATTGTTAGTTGGTTTCAATGCTTTCCTCCTAGACAAGGATAAAATAAAGTTGGAGGAGGTCGACGATCTACAATCCAATGAAGCACATTCTGAGGAGAAACTAAACAATGTTAGGGGACAGATTCTATCTTTTACCTTAGATGAATGAACAAGACCATTAGGATTGTTTGCTTTTTATTTTATTTGGAGATGTACAACAATTCTGATTATCTTCTTTTTTTTTGCTAAAATACTTTTGGTTTTTCTAGAGGCTTGACATAGAATTTTGGCGTTAAACAGGTCCAAATAACATCTCTACAAGGTCTTAAACTATTCATAAACTCATAAAAATAAGATCTCTACAAGATTAATGTTTACTTAGGAATAAACATTTCTTCCATCCAAAACGACTTAGGATTAGCTACAGGAATAATNAGAGGCTTGACATAGAATTTTGGCGTTAAACAGGTCCAAATAACATCTCTACAAGGTCTTAAACTATTCATAAACTCATAAAAATAAGATCTCTACAAGATTAATGTTTACTTAGGAATAAACATTTCTTCCATCCAAAACGACTTAGGATTAGCTACAGGAATAATATTTTCGTGGGAATAAACATGGTCTCATCAGAGTTGAGGTTGTGGGATCATGAGCAAGTTGGTAGCGGCTTCATCATCAGAGGAAGAGTCTTCATCAGAGGGAGAGTCTTGGACATTTGTCTGCTCAACCTACAAAGACAAAAGAAATCAAAAGAGTTAATGACCAATAAAACAACTAAGAATAAACTGAAGATTAGAAAGAAAAAGAAAAGAATATTTTACCATTTCTTTCTTCTTCCTAAAAACCTTGGAGATAGACATCTGAGAATGGTTTTCTAGCTTGAACTCTTCCATTCGCCATTCGCTTGGCTCTTCTTTGGTGCCATTCTTCAAGAAGAATGCATAAGTCATCTTTGTGCCCTTAAGATCAGTGTTGCTGTCTTTGAACTCTTTCCTCATACGACCTTGTCGTCTCCATCTCCCATGGGGAGTATCACGCTTGGTTCGAGGGCCACTTTTGTACCTACTCTGCAGGTTGGTATAAAAATACCACTCCGTTGTAGATTTGAGCTTCGATTTACCTTAAAAAAAAAAACAGATCACAAATTCTTCTTCAAACAGATTCATCATATACAACAACATCCATCACAGCAACAAACAGAGGTCTAAATCGCAATTATCCTAAACCAATACCTAAGGAGAGAGAGAGAGAGACCAAGAGTAAAACTAGCAATAACACAAATACTACGAACCTGCTACGTCCCAGGGATCGTACATGTAGATGTCAAGATCTGCAATGGCACCAGTAACCTCTTGGCTCAAGACTTTCCCCTTGAGGTAATAGAAGAGCGTTTGCTCATCAGTTGGTTGAAAAAGGAACCCTGGAGGAAGTGATACTGTCAACTGGAAAGCCTCTTCCGCAGACGGAATGTTTACCGGCGGCGGCGTCGAAACGGGATCAGCTGTGTCCACCACCGGCTGCGAAGACACGGAATATTCAGGCTCCATCTGCGCCGCGCTCTGTTTTAGGGTTTTAGAGAGAGACTCTCAGACGAGTATTTAGTTTCCCGATGATCGTAGACTCTCAGACACAATACAAAATACAGAGTGTTTCTTCTTCATAAATTCCTCTCGGTTAAGCACACAAGGTCCGAGTGTTTCTTCTTCATATGCCTCAACCTACAAGAGGAAAACTAAATTAAGACATTATTTTTACAAGTTGAAATGGAAACAACAAAACAGGTTTAGTGAATCTTTAACCATGACTGTGTCTGCGACCATTGTAGTTGTAGGGGGAGTTCTTTTGACAGGAGTTCTCTTGACCATAGGTTTCTTCACAAATACCTTGCACAACACCAAATCCTCCACCTAACAAAACAAAAGCTCACTTTTATGAGACAACAATCCATTTTTTTGATTAAAGGAACACTAAAACAAACCTCTCTTTTATACTCTTCCATAGTCCAATACGTAGTCTCCACACTCGTGTTGTTAGACCTAAGGCAAAACAAAAATGACTCTTTCATCCCAACAACCCTATTATGCTTATCCTTGACTTGTTTCACATCATCCTCAGTTAGCCACACTCCCGTGGGAGTTTCACGATTCACATAACCATCCTTTAGTATCCTACGTGTGAAGAAGAACCAGACTTCCCCGGATTTCAGCTTCGACAGAGCTACAAAATCGATCGTACATTCCAACAAAACCAATATATATCCTTATTCAATCAAACCTAATCCACATTTCACAGCATCAAGGCAAAAAAAATCAAACGCAAAAAATCAAGGAAAGCGTACAAGGTAACTCCCATGGTTCATGATCGTAGATTCGAAGCTCAGATATGGCATTCGGATATGTCTTGTTGACAAGCTTCCTTCTCAGGTAGTAAACCAAGAGGTCTTCGTCGGTTGGTCGGAATAGGAACCCGGTTGGTAGAGCAATCGGTGACGGAGCCATCGGTGACGGTGACGACGAGACAACGCAGTGATTTCACGCTCCCTCTCCAAATCTCTCCCTGCGATTGGAATAGGAAAACGAAACTGTTTGTTAAGAGGAGGAGCAGAAATTTAAAGAGGAAGAGCAGATATTGAATTTGCCTTTTAGTCCAAGGAACCAGTTCTTCGTTCGCTAAGCGGAGAGGAGAAAGAGTATACTGTTTATATTCTAATTTCAAACGGAAAAAAAATTATATGTGAGTCATAGATTGAAGAGAAATGAAAACCTCTATGTAAGAAAGAGGTTTCACTTTACCAATTTTGCTTCCAGATAGATCTTTACATACGACACCGTTTAGGTTAGATTTTGCCAAGCGCGAACAAACCAAATTATTTGAAACATATTTGTTTGGATTGCAACGAAAATCCTTTTAGTTGTGCAAATTATTATATGTTTATGTTCTAATGAAAATTATTTCAATTATAGATATGTTAATTAGTTTTAGAAGTATACATAAATATAGGCGACATGTGAACATTATTGTTGATTTCTTTCTTTTTTTTTCTTTCTAACACATTATTGTTGATTTCTATAAGATTTAAATGAGATAAAAAAACATATTTTTGATCATTAAGAACTGATAGGTTTTCGATTATATAACAACACAGTGTCTGAAACAACCCATAAACCAAAGTAAACGATAACATTATAACAAGAAACTTAAAAGAACAGAAAATGAGATATTTGTCCAAAAAAAGAAAAGAAAATGAGATAATAAAGACATTACATAAAGATAGGGAAAAAAAAAGAAGAAAAAACTCTTCACTCAAATCACAGTTTCAAGGAAGAGAACTTCACTGGTAATACATGAGCTGCTGCGCATTCTGGAAACCACCGTCATAGATGGCCTGGTTTGAACCAGCGGCTCCCATCGCAGCTTGCTTGAGACCGTGTTGTCCCTGTGGGTGATGATGCATCATAGGATTCATACTTGCCATCTTGCTCATGGCTAGTTGCCTCTCGTAAGCCAAGAGGTCACTGGCTGAGAAGCCTGGGATTGGTGCGGGACCTGGTGGAGGAAGCGGGTTTGATGCTGTTCCTGGTGGAGTTGGCTTGCTTCCCCAAGAACACTGTGGCAAGAAGAAAACACACAGAGACTGTTTTAGTATTCACAAACCGAAGAAGACTTATATAGTTTAGATAGTTTTACCTTCATCTGCCTGCCACCGAGGTAGGAATGTTGATTTCCCAGCTGGATAGCAAGGGCTGCCTCTACATGAGTAGAGTATCTTACAAATCCAAAACCTTTGTCTCTTTGAATACGAATCTCCTCAATAACTCCAGCACCGAGAGAATAGAAGTGGCGGTGAAGATCAACCTGAGAAACCTGGAAAATCAAACAACATTTTCACAAAGTTTTATATCAAAGGTTGTGTCAAGCCAACAGAATCCATATAACCACAATGTCTTGTTTCTTTACCTCTGGACCAAGATTTCCAACGTAAACAGTTGTGTACTGAGCATTGTTCTCTGGAGCATCACTGTTACTTGTATCTTTGCCATCCTCTACAAAAACACACATAAACCAATGTTTCAATATCAAAAGGTAAGGATTAATATCATTAGAGGCTGTTCTTTGTCTCCAGTAAATTCTCTTTTTATGACTAATAAAACTTAAAACAAGGAAGAGTAGAGTTTCATCTTAAAACATACCGGAGACACCACTGGCTAGTTCCACAACACTTTTGGAATCAGAGCTAAGCTTGTCCTCACCAGAAGTGGCTCCTTTTGTTGCCCAGTTGCAGCGAATCTGCCTGGTACCAAGCCATTTCCCTGAAAAAGCAAAGAAGAATCTCTCATCAATCATAAGCCAATAAAAAGTAAACGACATGAAACATAGTCTTTTTATGTGAGACAAACTTCATCATACACACTCAACACCATACGTTTAAATGAGACAAACCAAAGATATTTTCACTAGTTGTAAGAAGGAAAGCTTCCAAGTTATGTCTAACATCATCTATCATATTAGAAAATTTGCAGATCACCAAATAAATGCAAATGAATTGACATACCGCCTGCCTCATCTATTGCAGTTTGAGCATCCTGCACAAGGAAATAAGATTGACAACAATTAATAAATGGCTAATAGTAAAACCAGTTCACAGATTGGGACTGAAAAAGGAAAGTATTGTACCTGTTGGTTTCGGAAAGAAACAAAACCAAATCCTCTTGAACGCCCAGTTTTCTGATCCCACATAACCCTTGCATCCCTACATACACCACCAAAAAGGTCAGAATGCAAATCTTAAACTCTCACTTCCAAAACAAAGATGTTCAGAAGGTATCAGCATTAAGCAACTGAAAAACTTACGAGCAACTTGGGTAAACAGAAAAGCAATTAAACAGCATTGCATCTGTAACCTCCGGACTCAGATCCCCAACAAATATATTAAAGTGAGCTGCACATGAACGATTGCAGTTATATTACCATCTAAAAAACTAAAGGCTAGCATAAGAGTATGAACCACACCTGATGTATCCTCCCTCTGGCCATTAGCATAAGCCCAGTTAACTTTGATAGGTTGTCCAAACCTGCAAATTACATCAACCAATGTAATCTAATCCAGACAGAGCAAAGAAGAGTAAATCCCTAATTCTAAATTTCTTAAATTCAAGTGGTAAACTTACAAATGCCTTCCATTGAGAGAAAGGATTGCTAGACCAGCAGATCGTCGGTCAAAGTAGTGGACAAAACCATAGGAAGACTGCTCATTTTCAAAATCAAAACCAGAAGATCAGACCATACAGCAAAACATGGCCAATCACAAGACATAGCAACATAGTCACTAACCTGTTCCTTCCTAATAAGCTTACAACTTTCCACAGGACCAGTGCTAGCAAAAACCTCTTGAAGCAGAGGTTCAGTCACCTGAATATGGACGTTTCCAACATACCTGAAATTTCAAAAAGGTAAGACAAACTAAGAAAACTAACCAAGGAACGAATAAAATAAAAGCGCACCTAACCAACATTTTTTTTAGCAAACGTATTCACTCAATGAGGGAAAATAGCAAAAAGAATCAATTTTAGAAGCAAAAAAAAAAAAAAAAATCAGAGAAAAGCTTTACACTTTTGACAAACGCATTCATTTCATTCAATGCACAGTTATCAATACATCTTTGAGGTATGGTTTCCCCTAACTAATTTTGAAACACACAACAAACTTAAGCTCATCCCACTACTAGAGACAACAATAGGCCAAAACTATATGCAAAAGTGAACAAAAAAAAAGAAAGAAAAAAAATCCTAAAACTCACACACTGCGGCAAGAAGTTGGATCAAAACCAGGGGGAAGATTTCCACTTGGGATTGGTTCTATCTGCAAAAAGAATAAAATGAAAACCAAAGAAAATGAAAAAAAAAGAATAAAAAAAAACTTGCTTCCAGAATCACCCTTTTATCTACAAAAAGTCTCAGCTACTACTAACCTATGGATCATTTTTGTATTAGACCAAACAACTAAGACAATCACTTAACCAGAAGCAAAGTCTATTTGTAATGATAATCCCATAAAAATCATAACTTTATCTCTCTTTCAACCAATCAGATTAACAAAAAGAGAGAAACAAACATCCTCAATCACAGAAAATTAAAGTTTAAGAGATATAACACTGAGTCTTATAGAACAAAAGGGTATCTAACATATATGGTTAACACAGAGAAAGTGGAAACCTGAGGAGCGTTGAGGAGACCAGGATGGTAGAGAGACTGTTGCTGCATAAGAGCTTGTTGCATCATCGCTTGTTGATGCTCTTGCTGCTGCTTCAATCTCTGCATTTTCTCTCGGGTTATCTTTGATTTTACTTTTTTTTTCCCTTAGGGCTCGAAAGTGTTTTCTTGGTTTCCGAGAAAAAAAAAACGAAGAAACAGGAAAATAAGGAAGTCTCTTGATAGAAAGCGAAAGGAAGCAAAGCAATCGAGTGGCTCTTACGAATTTATTGAAAAAACTGATTTATTTTGCATCGATAAGCTAAAGTCACCAAGCTGTAAGAAAATGTTAAAAGTGTGTTAGCCAATGAGATGTTAGCACGTTAAGTAATGGCTCAGACCAATCACTGTCTTAAAGCAGACACGCCTTCAATTAAATGAAACCTGACAACTAAATCACAAAATGCCCCCTTAGTTTACTGTAAATTAAAGATACACCCTATAACTTTACTATATTTCGAATTACACCCTCATATATCTAAGCTGACTCACTCATACAGTCACACTTGGCATAAAATAGGTTTCTCTGTATGGTATAAAAGACTAGGACTCAGATTTGAAAAATTGTTTAGCAAGGAAACTACAGAATGAGGAAAGAGTGACATTCATAGGCTAGTAGCTGACAGAGAAGTTGGTTGAGAGCAATGAAGAGTAAAGATCCAAAGATAGATTTTGACCTTTAGTTATAATTTTATAACCAAGATGGCTCTTTCTTTGGTCAGCTTTTGTGAGTCTCTGTTGTCATCTTCTGCCTTTGATTTTATCCGTTTATCAAGAAACCAATTAATACTTTAAAGTTTTTGTCTGAATATTTTGCAGATAAGACATGGATTTTGGAGGAAGTGTGCAACTGGTCTTTAGAGGCTTCTTACCATGTATTGGTGTGGTGTATGATTCAAAGTCTACCTTTTCTATATTGTCCGGCTATATCTGGATTTTGTAACTTAATCCACAAGTATGTTATAATCTGAATTTTACTATTGCATTTTATAAATATTCAACTTAAATTATGTATACATACTTGAGGAAAAAGCAACAAAAAAACACTTAAATAAGTCAGAGGATGGAAACGTTAAAATGAAAACTCAGTTCCTAACAAATGTTGAGCAAAGTTTACTATAGCCTAAGTTCGAGATCTTTCGAACACTGGCCTTCTTCGTCAATCTTTATAGGAGTGTTTGTATCTCGTTCTGGTTTCGGGTGGGACAAGGTTTGAGCAACAGCATTCTCTTGTTGTTTTGATGACTGTCCCGATTCAAACGGCTGACCGTGGGGAGTCTCTGGCTTGTGAGGATAATGATGATGACCCGCATTTTGGTTAACTTGATATGGAGCTCTAGCCACAGCTCTGTAACCACAAAACAAACACAAAAGAAAATCACGTGGCTGGTTAGTATCTATAATAGGATGAATCATTAATCTAATTAAAGAGTGAACATTCGAAAGTATGGTCAAGTTAATGTTTACCTGTCTTTCCGTTTAGCAAAGAATCGATGAAGAGAAGCTCTACGTGCTATACGTTCCACCACCTGATTTTCTTGTTGCTGCTGTGGATTAGTATCAGCAGAATCAGTGGGCTCGTTGAGATCAGGAAGAACCATGTTGCTTTTGTTGTTATTTTGGACGTTGATTTGTGCCTGAATGTTAACCTCAGTCACAGGCTTAGCTTGCTTGGCAACTTCCATGATCTCTTTAGCTTTGTCTGCAGGGAACTCATTGTATACTAAAACTTGATCTCCAAAGAATATGGTCAACTGGGAACTTCCTAACTCTGATGATGATTTACTGTAAACCAAAAACTGATTTCAGAACAAAACCATTTTCAAAACCGGGATTAACCGGCTATTCCATTCTCTAATCTCTCCCAATAACAAGAAAACATTCAAGGAGTAAAAGAGTAGTAGTATAGACCTGAGGTTGGTTTCTTTGGCTTTGCCTCCAGATGATGGAGACATTTCGGCTTTTGAAAGCCTCTGAAGGACATCGAAGGTTTTGGTCTCCGTATCTGCCCTTTGCATCGCATTTTGTTTCCCTGTATAAACATAATTAAAAACTCTGGTCTTAATTCGAGAATAAATCCTTATAAAACCCTTTTACGTGAGATACATCTTGTTTGAGAGATTCATGAAACCAACCATATTCAATAAAATCATAAATTCTCTATAAAACTGTATTTATTTTTCTGTATCTTCATAATTACAAGAGAGGAAAAAAATAATAATAATAATTACAAGAGAGGGCTACGTTATTCTTTGAATTTAAGGAACTGACTTACAAGTGATGAAACAAGAACAGAACTAAAAGTCAGAGTCTAAATTACAAGTGGCAGCCGTGAGAGAGAAGAAGAGATAAAGTACCTGGTGGACAGGAGTATCCTGGCAACCCCAGATCCGAGTTAGGCTTTCGGGTCAAGTCGAGATTTATATTCCCGAAACTACCCTTCTCCTTCAAGTATCGGCTGAGCAAGCTACATCTCCGGGTAAAACTGGACTTCTCCGGCGGCGGTTGTGCCTTTGCATTTTCATTTCTTGACATCTTGTAAAATGTCAAAAAGAAGAAATTCTCAAGAATGTTTTCTTGTTTCTAAATATGTATTGTTATCTTTTCTTCTTTTGTTGGTGCGTGGTTTGCTCGTCAAATGGGAGAGTACAAGATGGATGGGTAGAGCTCCTTTTCTATGGCTTTTAATAGGCTCCAATAAACTGGAAAAAAAAACACACAAAAATGTGTTCAGTAAAAGAAATTCGCTACTAATTACAGTATTTAGATTAATACTTAATGATGTTTCTATTTTTGACTAAAAACAGTGTGTGAATTAATACTTAATAATATTTCTATTTTTGATTGATAGATAGAAAAAAATCAGTTGTGTGACATAATCCACAGTTAATAATAGCTTTCTTGTGAAAAGCAAGGAGTTTTCATACGACATGATTAACAATAATAAAGTTAAACGTAAATAATTCATCGTTAATTAATTTATTTATTGGTTTTCTTAGTTGGTATAACAAATCTATCGCCTATCTCATCATTAAAATTTGTTCACATTTGTACGTTTAGTTTGGTACATTCTGTGAGACAAAAAAAAAAGTTTGGTACATTCTATCTATTTACGGACGGTCAGATTTAAAACTTAGACTAGAACAATTTGTTTTTCAGTTAGAATTTCCCGCACGTTTTCTATACGCGTACATATAAAATACTGAAAAGAACCGACGAGAAACCGTTACTAAACGTCGTTAGCCAACCTGTTTACAAATTCATAAGAGCCCCAAAGTTGCTCATATCTACAAAATTGCCACTAAACTAGAACTCACCTTAAATGGTCACATACTCACATTCATGGCTCATGGGCCTTCTTCTCATGAATGCGTTAGTTAACGTTAACGGCAACTCGACTTGAATAGTAGGTGGGGTCTTATTCCCTAATTTCGTGGGAAAGAATAATGATACACTTGTCTTAGATCCGACACAAGTTTTAAAACACGTGACTTAAATAGAGTCATCCGGTAAGATTGTGACAAGTTGCGCCAATCTGTCCGGCGCACTAACTGGCAAGAGTATCGTGTGATTCGCGTTTTTCCCACTTTCTATAGAAAGAATGAGCAAATCTTTTGATCTACCTAATTAGATTGGTCATTTACGAAAATTAATTATTGCCTCAAAGAGACCTTCACGGTTGCAGTAATCACTACGACTCGTTAGAAAAACATGTTATAAAGACAGAAGGGACTTCAAAACTTTTAACTAAAAGTGTTGTTGCTGTGACTAAATGAAGCAGGCATGGAGCTAACCGAGCCAACCGCGGATGAATCAAACCGAACCAACAATCGGTTATTCGGGTTAGTAACTGTTAGGTTCGGGTTATATTATGGGTTTCCAACTTAAAACCAATTGGTGATAAGTGGATTGGCCCTAACCCTTTATATATTACTTAAGGTCCCATTGAATTCCCGATGTGAGATATATATCCCTAATACCCCTCCTCGAGATGATGGCTCTTATCGGTCAGAAATCTCGGAACTTTAAGACAGTTATACTCGGTCGAGCGAGTCAAATACGACAATTATACCTAGTCGGAAGGTTAAACACGACCTATATACCCGGTCGGAAAGGTTGATTAATTAATTAGGAGTTTAGGGCTTTTAGGATCTGGGCTCTGATACCATGTTAGGTTCGGGTTATATTATGGGTTTCCAACTTAAAACCAATTGGTGATAAGTGGATTGGCCCTAACCCTTTATATATTACTTAAGGTCCCATTGAATTCCCGATCTGAGATATATATCCCTAATAGTAACTCCTTATCCGTACGCCACTTGTGGGTTGAGGCCAAGTCAATGATTTAATTCAAACAAATCAAAAGTCTGTGGAATAAAAATTGGTAACGAATGGCTTTGGGTCTTTATGAAAGTGAGAGAAACTATTGGCTACCATTTCGAAACGAAATTTCTTCGCAATTCACACCTAACTAATATGGCTCATCTGCTTGGGGGTTTCTTTGTAGAAACGTCACAAAATACGCCTAACAATGTCAAAGAAACTTACGCGTAATATTTTGACTCATGTCATTCACTCATTAGAGATTCCAACGTTTTTCGATTACTCAAACTATGGTAAAATTCACTAAACACTAAACCAAGATCTTATTGGCATGGACCAGAGGTTGACTGTTTCCTTTAAAGAACAAGCTAGTCAAAACCCTTAAAGGTTCATCCTCTTTACAAAATCGTGTGAACTCTAGCCTCAGAGGCAGAAGCTCTTATTGTAGTTACTACGGCCGTGCTACAAAGTCATAAACTCTTGGGATACAGTTTCTATAGGTACACTCCCAAGCCTTACTTGATCTTCATATACAGGAAAGAACTCTACATTAAGGAAACAAGCTAGTCAAAACCCTTAAAGGTTCATACTCTTTTCTAATAGATGTTAGCTCCATCCTTAGACTAATTAGTATGATTGTGCTATAAAGTCAAAAACTCTTAGGATACAGTTTCTATAGGTACACTCCCAAGCCTTACTTGATCTTCATCTACAAGGAAAGAACTCTTCATCAGAGAAACAAGGTAGCGAAACCCTTAAAGGTTCTCATCCTCTTTTTAAATCATGTTAGCTCCATTCTTAGACTAAAAATTAGTATGGCTGTGCTATCAATTCAAAACTCCTAGAAGACACTTTCTAACTTTCTATGGTTACTGCAAAGCCTTATTTGATATTCGTATACAGGAAACAACTCTCCATCAAATATCAAAACGTCTCGTACCTTAGATGATACTATAAACTTGTGTAAACGTTAGATGTAACTTATCTTTTTCAAAAGGGAGGCAAACAATGTAATGTGGCTTATGATATATAACCAAAGAAAGCTCCTATAACTTCCATTGTAAGAAAAGTATTGAACACTCTGAAAACGTACCTCATGTTCAGTATTTGTCAAACAGTTGAGAGCCACCGGAAATACTCGCTGATCTCTTCTCCAGCCTCTAAATCCACCGCCACCACCGTGGCACCACGACGACTACTCCCGGTGAAAATCGAACCCGAGCTTCTAAAGGAGAGCGAACGGGAAGATATACCACGAGAAAGAGATCTCAGCCAGCTCCTGGAACCATCGTGGCCTACATCCGCCGCAATACTCGCTGTAGTAATCGCGTGATCGAGAGGAGATCGGCAGAGAGGACAAGTCTTGTTCGAGACGAGCCACGTGCTGATGCAATCTGCGTGGAAAGCGTGGGAACAGAGAGGGAGGTGACGTAGCTGATCCTTAGGCTGGAGCGGTGATAAACAGATGGCGCAATCGCCGAGGGATCGAGGAGTAAAGAGACGTCCGATGAGAGAACAGAGACATCGGATGAGAAAAGAGATGGAGATTGTGATCAAGATCGCGAGGAAGAGGATTCCGAAAACGATGAAGACGCTTAGCTTGATGTTGTGGTGAGAATCGATGCGACTAGGAGGAGCCATTGATGGAGACTCAATCATCATCTGCAAAATTTGTATCGTGCGTTTACTATGAACGGAGTTTCGAAATCTAAACGAGACGATCGAGTTATCAATAATCGATTTCAGAAACGGAAATTGAGTTACCTGTAACGGCAAACTCTGATAAGGATCAAGCTCTCTCTCTTCTTCTTCTTCCTCACATAGTGCAAAGCGAGCTTGTAAACTTGTCTTCTCCTTCGTTTCCCGATTCAACTCAATTGGGAAAAAGCTTCGTGATTTGGCGCTTTGATCTTCAATTTTTTGAATATTTTTTTTTTGGAAGTTTTCTCGCAAGTGGGGGGTGTGATCTCCTCTCTCACTAACGCGTGTTCCCTTACGTTTTCGTTTTTATTTATGTAATGGGCTTGGGCTTAAAAGCCTCTTATGTTTTGGGCTGAAATAAGGGAACATTTAATACACCAATGAGAAGGTCATTTTCTTGATGTAATAAACCAATGCACAAGGAATGTAATAATGAAGAAGATAAATTAATCGGTTTTATTGTAAGGTTATCCACCTTGAAATGATACAAATTATCACAAGAATGGATGCATTCTGATACTCGTGTATTTATATTTCACGAACATGTTTTGTTCTATGGGCATAAATGCCCACAGACTAATTCATGCAAAAAATAAAAAGGTATAAATACATGTATGCACCAAAATTTTCCTTCAAAATAAGAGACTCACTTCATAATTGCTTTTGAATTTTCTCAAGAAGAGTTTGAATCTGCATAAATCATTAAATATTGCACATTAGTTTTAAGGAAATCAAAATTTAATGCATCAAAACTACCTATCTAAAATAAAGTCCTTGAAAATCGCAAAAAGTTAAAAAAAAAAAAAAACTTTCTACAAGGAAAATTTATTCAAATTCTGAAAGATATAATTAAACTGTCCTAAAACCAAGATCTTATGAACAACCATTTAGTTCTAATACATCGAAGCTTTGCCTTGTTATCGAACCTACAACAACAGTAAAATCAATAGAGGAAGCGGTCGGGATACAATTTGTCGATCTGCGGATCATCCTCAAAGCGACTCCAAAAAAGACAAAACAGGGTTGACAAGGTCCTTGTTCAGACCATCATCTGTGTAATCGACTTCAGGCGCATTTTGTTATTATTTGGTTCACCATGTATTACAAATACGATTTCATGTATGAAGATTAATCATGTAAACTGAAATCAACTATTTTGAAGAATATTTTATCTTCTACGATTTATTATTAGAGCTGAATCTTATGTTTTAAAGTCTTTGATACATCCTACCTTTCTTTTTTACAAAAAAAAAAATCATTCCTTCTTATTCATTCTCTTCCTCCCAAAAAAGGGACATTGTTTCGAAATACATAGAAAAAGGGAAATGATCACGAACTGGTAAAGATCGGAAAACATACAAGAATAGAAACAAGTGTGAAGCGGTAACATTAAGTCGCCATCGACCATACGAGTTCAGTCGAAATTACGAAACCAAGTGATCAAGAACGTCTTCTGGACACTGTTAGATTGGATTCATTCATGGGTGAAATTCACAAAGATGTCATACTGATGCACCCTTGGAATTGAAAAAATTCACCAAAATATCATAATTTAGTATAACAAATATACAGAAATATCGAGTATTCCTACTTCCTACTAACCGACAACTAAAACTAAAACCATTGTGAAAAAGTTTAAATTTTAATTTTCAGCTTATAATAAATCTTGTAGTTGCCAACTTAATTACTAGATTATTGTTGTTTTGTTTGTATCTTTACATTTACTTATACATAAGGATCTTATTCATTTAAGCAATAATTTTTATATGGTTAAATTTAAGCAATAATCTGATGGACAGTGCAAGTTTTAAAGGAGATGGCTGAATAAGTCGTGCTCATAATATATGCATATATATAGAGAGAGAGAGATAGAGAGAATTTTTTTCATATTGATTATAATTCTTTCTTCAAAGAAAAAACTGCATTATGGACTTTCTACCCATCAAAATAGACCTGAAATGTCAATATATATACATTTTCTGATGGTTCCCATTATGCATGTCACACGTAATTTCTCTTAACATAAGTTACGTAACGTCTAGCTTTTTGGTATTTCAAAAGCAAGTAGTTTTGGAATGGTTTAGTAGTAGTAGCACTTGTTATCGGAATTCGCTATACAAGCGTTAAATTCTAATAAATTATGTCTCCGAACCTTGTTTCCACGCAAAGTAGTGTTTGTTATTCTACTTTGGTGTTTGTAACAAATTAACAATATGACCTTGAGTTACTATTATGTCATAACTTTAGATTTATATATGTTTTGCATGCGTGTTTAATTTTTCACAGAATCCTGTTAGGCGACAATTTAATAAGTACCCCACACTAAATTAATGTTACAGCAACTCAATAATTTGTAAAAGCGATTCGCAAAATCAAACTTCTTAGAGGGTGTTATTGGTTTGTATATTTTAGTGGATTTGAAAATACAAATCAAATATAATGTTATTGGTTCTATGATTCTAAAATCCCTATTCAAATTCATTGTTATTGGTTCTATGATTTTAAAATCTATATTCAAATTCATTGTTATTGGTTCTATGATTTTAAAATAGATTTTAAAATCAGGCGTTATTCAATAATAATGATTTGCTTGAGGATTTGATTTTAAAATAGATTTGAGTGGATTTGTGAGTTAAAAATATAAAGAAGCAAATACTGAGTTGAACCTTGTTATTTTGATAGTGTATTATTGATTTTCTTAATAAGTGTTTTCTTTCCCCAAGTTTTACGTACATATTATCCATGTTTCTCTAATAATAAGCAAATATTAATATATTAACCAACCATCTCTAACTTAGTTTTACGTACACGTAGACGTTAATATAAAAATGTACCAAAGATCTCTCATAAGAGTTTTGGTCTACAAATGTTTTTTGGAGATTCTACTCCATAAATGACAAAGAGTTGTTTACCATCATCATGTTTTCTGAGAAATGTTAAGAATTTTTGATATATTCAAATCTCGATTTTTAATTTTTAATGTGCATCCCCTTTTGCTTATAAGACACAAACGGAGAGAATATTTGTGTGTTAGTTTACGTGTAGTCTTTTTAAAAAGTTCTGACGAATCGATAGGAATAAAAAAGTTTTGATGAAGAAGAAGATTTTGAGGAAGTTACTGGAACTGAAAATCAACAAACAGAATATGCCAATCAATTGAGAACGGCAATAATAACAAGTATGTGAGAGATTTTATGTTATCATAATAACATAAGACATAGAAAATGATAAACCATATGTTGTAGTTTTATATATATTTTCTTTTGTTACAAAGCTGCATTTATCACAAATCCATTTCGTTGATTTCTAATAATTCAATTATATTGATTTTGAAATCTATTTCATTGATTCTGAAATCTACGTATTTGATTTTAAAATGTGTGGATTTGTCAAAAATTTCAAAATCCAAAAAGGATTTCTAAATCTATAAAATCCTAGAACCAATAACCCCCACTTAGTACCAGTATTTGAATTGTTCATTCTACTTCATTTAATTTTGTGTACTAATTGTGAGATTGGCGTGTACCAACACACAAAATATTCAAAAGATAGAAAATGCTCGCAAAGTTCATGATGATGTTTTTTTATCAAAAAAAAAAGAAGTTCATGATGATTCCAAACCACTGCATAAGTCACGGGGATTCTGGACCACTGCCCAATTCACACATACACGTCTTAATAGTTTGTTTATTAATATAAAACATGTATAACTAATCTAAATATATAAGAAAATTATTTTCTGTTGATTAATATGGGAAATTATTATATGTTTTCTGTGTCCATGATACTGTTTTAAAAAAAAAACATGTATAACTAATCAAAATATGCATGCATTTTTCATCGTTTACAGATAATTTAGTGTATTAGGCTTTCCCATCTATCAAAACGTTTTTTTTCTTCTGAAAACCACTTGATTCAAATATATATATACGTATTTTGTAAGATTCAAACACAAGTTTTTTAATCTGCCAAACTGAACTAGACTCAATGGTACTAATGACTGATTAATGATTTGAACCTAAATCATTATATATGCATGGGCAACTCCACTATAAAGAAAACCAATCGATATCACCATGATATCACTCTACTGGTGTGATATAAGAGGAAGTGTGCCTCAAAGTTAATATGTGATGTTTGACGGTTCAAAAAAATGATCAGTCAAATAATTAAAATGGTTCATAATCTCTAATAATAGTATAAAAGAGACGAGCTGACTGATAGATTTTTAGTAGGCATGTTTGTGTTGCATGTGGTTGCTACCATGGTAGGCATATACGATCAAATAGTATTCGTTTTGTGGTCGCAAATCACAATAACACACAATAAAAACAGGACCATGGTAACAATTCTTGAGAAATAGTCTTGCAAAATGATTAAATGGGTTTTGCCGTTTTGAATATATATTTTATAGAAAAAGTTATACTGAAGAGAAAAACTAAGCCAAAGTAGATGGGACAACAATTTATCTTTTTACATAATAAAGAGTCCATGGTCAACTTTCTCCGAACAAAGAGGGTGAAATAGTCATTTAGAGATTATGGTCGGAGTTTCTCCTTCGCTTCGTTGCTTCCTCTTACCACACGTCATGTCATACTCGGAACTCAGTTTGACTCGATTTACCCCCACATTTTCATCCCATTCCATACACCTTTTTCCCCTGCAAAACTTTACACGTTTTTTTTTTCGTTAGTGAACATAACTGTCTGGTGAAAATGGAGTAACTAAAAGTAATTAACAGTGAAAGAAAACGAAAAGAAAAGAAACAAGGAAAAATTAATTGTGAAGTATAGCTTTTGCTCAATAATAAGAGAAATAAAAGTTTACTCTATAAATGTAGAATAAGATAAAAATATTTACTCTATACTGACGTTTTTACTCCCAGAATAATAACTCAGTTAAAAAACATTTTTTTCTCCAATACTTTTACTCTAACATGACATATCAATCATAGCCTTAATATAAAGATGAATAACTATTATATGTTTTTGTGAAATGAATAACTATTGTTGACAACATATATAGAAGTAAAAGTTCTGGAGATAAATTAATCCACTGTGTGGTTGAATTCGAATCCTACTACTGTAGCTTAATCGTGGTTAGCTATTCTGTATGTTTTAGACAGTAAAAAGTCCGATGTTATTCTACATTCCATGGTATAATGTGTTTCAGTGTTGCTTCTTCTAATACAATACTTATTAACAATAACAGCAACAAAACTGTAACGACACATTATATGTGAGTTATTTATTTTCCACATAAAAATACTCTTCCATATAGTCTCTTTCTTAAATTAATATTTTTAGATTCAGAACACTTTCAAATACAAAGTACATGGAATATACTTTAGTCTTCCTTCTCCAACTATCATACTAAAAGTAAAAGCATATCCTTTTTTTGAAATTTTTTTTTGACAAAAAGTAAAAGCATATCCTTTCTACAATCTCTTATCCAATCATATTCTAGAATTTTAATTGAAGTGTTGTAAACTGAACAAAGTGTAAACACCTCTGAATATACCATTTTCACTACCACTAATTATTTCTAATTTTGTGAATAATTGCTACTATACGCCACGTAAATACAACGTATTTTTCCCTTTCACGTTGATATATTGTACTATCTTATCTCAGAACGTAAGTATGTCTAGTTACATTTAAACGATACATCTACTCAGGGCCGGCTCAACAGTTCTTTGGGCCCCGGACACAAAAATTTCTTAAACTTTTAATATTTATAGTTATTAAAATTTAAATATATTCTAAAATTTTTATCATTAACATCTTTATAATATTTGTGATAAAAATAAATCATGTATATGTAAAATATTTTAGGGCCCTATTCAACTGAAATTATGTATATATAAAATATTTTAGGTATTCAACTAAAATTTATAAATATTTTTAAAAAATTATATACAAATATGTATGTATAAAAAAATATTGGACTGTAATTAGTAAAATCGGGGAGACACGGGTTTGGACCCGGGGCGGTCACACCGTTTGTCCCCCCATGTAAGCCGGCACTGCATCTACTCATGAGAAGTATATCATAGATAAGTTGATTAGAAACATGATCACTTCCTTACAAAAGAGAAAAGGAAATAGGCACGAGAAAGCTATGGAGGTTTGGTTTGGTTTAAGCTGATTTTTGTTGGGATGCAGTGCTGTGTTGCTGGAGTTGTGAGAGGCCTACTTTCTGGAGGATTGAGTTCGTGATCTTAGAACTGACTGCGGATTTCGTATGGGGTTTTATTGGGTGTGTTGGCAACATCTAATACTCCCCTGATCATGAGTGGATTACTCTTTTTCCTTACTAAGGTTTTGTCCCATGTTGGGTTTTTCTTTAGTAAGGTTTTAATGAGGATCACCTCATGGTTCTCCCATGCTTAACTTGTTTCACATTGTCAAGTTTGAGGGGAAGGGCTATGATGAATTGTTTTTTTCCTTGGTTTTGCTTCTTGGTCTTTTGAGTTTGTTTTTGTTTTTGGATGGTTTTTTCAAGCTTTGTTGCATCTTAATGTAAAACTATTTTTTTGGAATGCAATTTAAAATTTTTTCAAAAAGAAAAGAGAAGTATATCATAAAAAGAGACTAAACATCAAAACAAGAAGTAGACTAATAATGACTTTGAAAACGAGCATGTTGACAAAAAGAAAGAAGAGTGAACATGAGAATTCACATTTTGTAAAAGGAAAAAATAAAAATGGCTTTTGCGTAGAAGATAGTCTAATAAGTAACAAAAACGTGTGGACGGCAAATGAGATCCTGCCATCTCTATATATATCTATCACTTGTCGATTATTATTAACCAGAAGGTCCAACAACTAACTAACCTCAACTTCTTATTCTCTGCCAACACTATACTAGAAAACAACTCAAGATTCATTCCATTTAATACTAACTGATTACATCATCATTATGGCATTAGCTAAAGAGTTAATGGGTTATCCTCTGATCTCCAAAAGGCCATTACTTGTTTGGTCGACGTCGCATTTCAAGAAGACGACACAAGCAACACAGTTCTCGATCAAGCCTTTTGATCGGACACCAAGAACGTCCAAAACCGGCGTCGTTGCGGCCATCAGCGAAGATTTGGTCAAAACTTTCAACTCACCCACCGGTGACAGAAAGAGCGAGGAAGATGAGAAAGCGGCGGTGAAATTCAAGGTGAGAGCTGTGGTTACCGTGAGGAACAAGAACAAGGAGGATTTGAAGGAGACTCTTGTTAAGCATTTAGATGCTTTTGGTGATAAGATCGGTCGGAACGTCGTCTTGGAGCTTATTAGCACCGAACTTGATCCAAGTAAGTCACTATAGTTTTATAACTCGGTTGGAAAAGCAGAACACCATACAAAACTTTCTTAAAAAGGAAACTTTATATACGGGCATTCCTAAAATCGAATAATATAAAATGGTTTATCTCAAAATCTCATGATCAATGCTAAGATAAATATACAATTTTTAACTCTTACAGAAACGAATATGCCGAAGAAGAGCAACGCGGCGGTTTTAAAGGATTGGTCAAAGAAATCGAAAACCAAGGCGGAGAGGGTTCATTACACGGCGGAGTTCACGGTGGACGCAGCTTTTGGCTCACCGGGAGCCATCACCATCACGAACAAACACCAGAAAGAGTTCTTTCTGGAGAGCATCACCATCGAAGGTTTCGCACTTGGTCCTGTCCACTTTCCATGCAATTCTTGGGTTCAGTCCCAAAAAGATCACCCAGAGAAACGAATCTTTTTCACTAATCAGGTAATTAATTTTAAATATATGAGTGATTTAGTTATTTACTTAAATAACTCATGGTCCCATATACCATTAACTAATGTCATTTTCGCGATCTCCCCTTACCTTAGGCAAGTTCTAACTATATGCAATTATGTTGTTGGAAATGATTAAAAACTAACGTTATGTAAGTTTATGTGCAGCCGTTTTTGCCGAATGAGACACCTGATGGATTAAAAAAACTGAGGGAGAAAGAGTTGAATAATCTAAGAGGAGATGGGAGTGGGGTAAGGAAGTTATCAGACAGAATCTATGACTTTGATGTCTACAACGATCTTGGCAATCCCGACAAGTCATCAGAACTCTCTCGCCCCAAGCTCGGCGGTAAAGAGATTCCTTACCCTAGACGGTGTCGCACCGGTCGCCATCCAACTCATACCGGTAAAATTCATAACTAAACATTTTATAATCATATCAGTAATGAATCTCAATAGTATATATGCTTTTGGGGTTTTTTAAGTGTCTCTAATGTTTTTCTGCATTGTTGACAGATAAAAAAGCGGAGAGCCGAGTGGAGAAGCCATTACCTATGTACGTGCCACGAGATGAGCAATTTGAAGAGACTAAGCAGAAAACTTTTGCTACAGGGAGGTTAAAAGCGATGTTACACCACCTAGTTCCGTCGTTGAAAGCCAGCATTTTAGCTGAGGACTTTGCTGACTTTGGAGAGATAGATGGTCTATATAAAGAAGGATTGCTACTCAAGTTAGGGTTTCAAGATGAAATCTTTGAGAAGTTCCCCTTGCCCAAGGGCATCGTTAAAACACTCCAAGAATCTTCTAAAGGACTCCTCAAATACGACACTCCCAAAATATTATCGAGTAAGCACACTTTATTTATATATAAGATCTTTACCAACTTTGATTTTTTAATTGAATTTCTACCATTTTAACACTCGATCCTAATTAAAACAGGCACATAGTATTTCCAAGAATTTTATCTTATTTTATTAGCCCTTATATTTGATCTTTGATAATTGAGACACACCATGAAATTTCATCCCACCAAAAAGAAAAAGAAAACAAAATCACTTTAGTTGAAAAGCAAACAGAAACGACATATGTTTCACGTGGTTTTTTTTCTAATTCGTTACAACGTTTCATTTATAGTATTAGCTTGTGAAAATAACGCGTTTTCCTTTAGTTGAATCATTACCGTAACATCTAGTAGTTAGTACAAGTTAAATGTTAATTGATTTCGAAAAATATTAAATGATGCAGAGGATAAAAACGCATGGCTACGAGATGATGAGTTTGCACGTCAAGCAATAGCTGGAATCAATCCAGTCAACATTGAGAGGGTCAGGACTTTCCCACCGGTGAGTAATCTTGACCCTGAAATCTACGGTCCACAACACTCTGCACTCACTTCCGACCACATCATCGGACATCTCGACGGACTGTCCGTACAACAAGTACGTATACACTTACAACAAATTCCACATAGCTTAGTCAAATACGTGACTAAATGTGAATATTGATTACTAAAATTTATTATACTTGTTATTTTTCAGGCGTTGGAAGAGAACAGATTGTTTATGTTAGATTACCATGACATATTTTTACCGTTCCTAGACCGGATTAATGCTCTAGACGGACGCAAAGCCTATGCTACTAGAACCATATTCTTCTTGACTCGTCTAGGAACACTTAAGCCGGTAGCCATTGAGCTAAGCCTCCCTCCCCATGGCCCGAACCACCGGTCAAAACGCGTGGTTACACCTCCTGTCGACGCAACCTCTAACTGGGTATGGCAGCTCGCTAAATCCCACGTTAGCTCTAACGACGCTGGTGTCCACCAGCTTGTTAATCACTGGTTAGTACTCAAAAACATTCAAGTATATTAAACATCTCTATATTTCAAGTAGTGAGTATAGAGTTATTGATGTGCTTTATCAATCTTTTTTGTTGGTGTAAAGGCTACGAACCCATGCATGCTTGGAACCATTTATATTAGCAGCACATAGACAACTGAGCGCTATGCATCCAATATTCAAACTATTGGATCCGCACATGAGGTACACGCTGGAAATCAATGCATTGGCTAGACAGTCGTTGATCAGTGCAGACGGTGTGATTGAAGAAGGCTTTACAGCCGGCTCATACGGCATGGAAATGAGTGCCTCCGCGTACAAGAGCAGTTGGCGGTTCGACATGGAAGGCCTCCCCGCTGATCTCATTCGCAGGTATGTTACCTAAACTAGTCTTGAATATTTCAAACACAAATTTTAAACGTCTTTTTAACAAGATAAATTTATTAATTATAGTGTGATACAAAGATAATACATATGAAAAGCTAATATCAATTATTTTTAGGGCAAATCTCTAAAATATCACATTTCTAAGTTTATGTCACACAAATAGTTCTCAAAAACTAAAATGACCAAAATAACATTTTACCTTTTGAAAATTTTAATTTTTTTATTTTTTAAAAATTGAAATCTTATCCCCAAAACCTCACTCTACAACTCAAAACCCTAAACCCTAAATTTATGTGTGTATTTATATCTTTTAATAAAACATTAAGTGATATTTTGATTATTTTTATTCTTAAATGCTACAGTTGTGACAAAAAAAAAATTAATGCTATTCTAATCATTTTTCTCTTATTTTTAAACGTTTTCATTTGTACATAATCTAATATCAATTATTTTTAAATATTTTTTTTCAGAGGAATGGCAGTGCATGACCCGACACAACCACATGGACTTAAACTACTAATCGAAGACTATCCATACGCCAATGATGGTCTTTTACTCAGGTCGGCTATCCAAACCTGGGTCCGAACCTACGTAGAACGTTACTACCCAAACCCAAACCTAATAAAATCAGACACGGAGCTCCAATCTTGGTACTCCGAATCAATCAACGTAGGCCACGCTGATCTCCGCGACGCCAAGTGGTGGCCAAAGCTAAACACAGTCGACGACCTCGTCTCAATCCTCACCACACTAACCTGGCTCGCCTCAGCTCAACACGCAGCTCTCAACTTCGGACAGTACCCTTACGGAGGTTACGTTCCTAACCGACCTCCGTTGATGCGTCGGTTGATCCCCGACGAGTCGGATCCCGAGTACAAGAGTTTCATCTCTGATCCGGAGAAGTTTTATTTCTCGGCGATGCCGAGTTTGTTGCAGACGTCGAAGTTTATGGCGGTGGTTGATACTTTGTCCACGCATTCGCCTGATGAGGAGTACATAGGGGAGAGGCAACAGCCTTCGATTTGGACTGGAGATGGTGAGATCGTTGATGCGTTTTATGGATTTAAGGCGGAGATGGGAAGGATAGAGAAGGAGATTGAGAAAAGGAACTGTGATCCTGACCGTAGGAATAGGTGTGGAGCTGGTGTTTTGCCTTATGAGTTGTTGGTTCCGAGTTCTGAACCTGGTGTTACTTGTAGAGGTGTACCTAATAGTGTGTCGATATAGAATGAAAACTATATATGGGAAAAATGTAGAAGTCGCTATAAATAATTTTTGGAAGAAAATGTGAAGTATAAATTAGTTATAGTTACACCACCATCGTGAATTTGAATTTCATATATATTTTTTTCCAAAGAGATAGCTTCAAATTCAAATATTTGTTGGATTTACCTAACTTGGGTCTCACACTATCTTCGCACATGTATAACCTGATAATTAAGTTGCTATAAGAGGACAACTTAAGTTATAAAGAGAGAAAAAAACACTACAAAAGAAAAAGAAAAAAAAGGAAATAATTAGGAAGTCAAACTACAGAAAAATAACTGTTTTATTTTTTTGTCTATAAGACTAATAAATTAAATATTAAACAAATATATACAATTTGACTGACTCATTGTGCCTTGACCTTCCCTGTAAACTCTTGAAACCTAGAAAAGCAAAAGTTGGACTATTACCAAAAGGAAACCTTTACTTTCTTAAGAAAAGATGGTAAACTGTGTTGTTGTTTACTAGAAGATAAAATGTAGCAGTGAGAGCTGGCTCAGGCTTTTGTATTGAATGTCCTTTAGTAACGTGTCATATGATGTTGTAACATGTGAGGACCCAATGTCTGCGAAACCAATTGCTCTGGACTTGGTGATGGTCTTAATGTAGAGTAGGCACCATTTGGATTCACCATCACTTGCCTAATAGTTTCCTTGGAGTTGCTTGCATTGGTCCCCGGGAGTGAGGATTCCACCAAAGCACGCAGCTGGTGACCCTAAAACAAAAAGAAACTTGAGAGGTCCAAAAACTTTGACTGTACACAGAAAGATGTAACGGATCTAATTTAGCTACCATTGCAATTCGCTTCTTGTGGAGATCAGTTGGTACCTGCAAAAAATTGTTAACTTGAGAGATCAATATCCTGGAATCAGCACATTCACAGATACTCTGTTCTTGGAGAGTTTAGAAACGAAAATCACTTACGGTTTTTGTTAGATGTTTATTCTCACTTGAGAATCCAGGAATTGTCAACTGCAAGTTTTTCTCTGCATCAATTATAGCACCAGCAAGCAGCAATATGAGTTACAATAACAGCTGCTAATAATCCATCCACACGATACATAGCTCAAGATGTACAAACCTAGGTGGAGTAATACATCCTTTCGCTCCAGCATGGTTGATTTACGATGCTTAGCAAGTCTACATGCAAACGAAGTCACCTGCAATCATACAAGTAGATAAGCTAAAGATACTTTTCTACATATATTGGAAGTTTTATAACTAAGACATTAGCTTCTGACCGAATCAAGAAAATCATCTGCTAGCTCCAAAAGGAGGTCTTCAACATCAAGATCCAATTTAGCATGTGCATCCACCTGAAAATCATTTACAACTGGATGAGACATTATTTGATTTTTCTTCATATAAAAATACGTAGAAGAAAAATGAAACAAACCCAAGGGTTCAATAAGACAACCACCTGTGAAACCAGATCATGTAGTTTTCTTTTGCCAAGCAGTTGGTTTGTTGTTTCTGGTCCTTGGCTGGACCTACCACCTGGTGTTGTTGCACCCGACTGTGCCACATCTGGTTGTGAACCTGTTAAACTAACAGGTTTCTGTTCTGCATGACTCGGCATCCTTGGAGGAGGCTGTTGTTGATTTATTGATGTTTGCTGCATCTGTTGTAGTTGAGATGGGTTCATCTGAGCCTGGCCCATTTGTGATTGTTGCTCTATAATATGTGATATTTGCTGCTGATTCAAAGGCATGGAATTTTGGTGCAACTGAGCAGAGGGAAATTGCTGCTGTAAAAGTAGAGCCTGTCTTTGACTCTGTTGGCGCCGGAATGATTGTGAATTGGGGCTGTTTATTTCCGAAATTTGCTTCAGCCATTGCTGCTGCGTCAAGGAGTTTTGAATCATACCAGCTTGTCCATTTTGGGCGGCCAAACGCGATAACTGAGCATTGATGAATGCGAGAGAAGGTGTTCTTTGGATGTTCTGGACCTAAACAAGGGATTACAAAAAGATTTCAGACAGCTCTTAAAAAGAAACACGTATTTAAAAAAAAAGAACTCAAAAGGATTAGGAATTTTCACCATGTAACAACATAAATTGTATGAACCCTGCTAAACTCAAGAATCAATCTAGCCTCATGTAGGTTCTTAAGTAGCCAGTAGTTACAGATGTTTGTAGAGCCAATATTACTAATTCAAATACCAACATGTAAATAAATATTTTTTTTATCAGAAATGTACAACAAGAAGCCAAAAAAGCAGTGATAGGGTCTAACAAGAAGAATCATTTAGTGACATCTCTCTATCAGACATAAGGTAACAAGTAGTTGACAATTTCAGAGCTGCAAGTGGTTGAAGCTAAAATAAGATTTTTTTTTTTTTTTTTTTTTTTAACTCATACCTGAGTTGAAGTAAGAGCGTGTTGCTGTAACAAATGCTGTCTCATTTGTCCAGTGTTGATTCGCTGCTGAGCGTAGAGCATTGGCAAGTGACCGCTTTGACCAACCAAAGCTGCCCTAAACATTTTTTTTTTTTTTTTTTTTTTTTTTTTGCCCTAAACATATTCTCTTGAACTAAACCTGACTCAGCAAAGTTCATCGTTCCGTACATCCCAGCTTCCTGCCTCAAAACGTCGCCGTATCGACCTTGCTGCTGCTGGATTTGGTGGTTCATGCGACGAGAAGCAGAAGGTGATCGCTGAGCTATATCGTAATTCGACATTGGTATTTGCGGCGACGACGGTGCAGGGGAAGGCTCCATTAGAAACAGGGGACGTTCGAGAGTTAAAGGTCGTGGTGACGGGTTCGATGAACGCGAAGTGCGAATTAAATAGAACAATTACGAAGCTATTTTTTATTCAACTACGTGTCGTTCTATTTTCTTCGTTTAAAACGACATGCTGTTCAGTGGAAGTAAAGATAAACAACAGCACGAGTCTTTCTTTCAACAGGCTTTTTCCCTAACCTCTGAATCTCTGCAAAACTGAGATTCAGAGTTTTAAGTACAAAAGCTCAAAAGGATATAACTTTTCTTCTTTTTTGTTAGTAGAAAACAAAAAGTAGAATATTTGTCACTATAAAGAAGGATTCTTTGTTTGTTTCTTGACACAAATTAATCTCGATTTTCCATTTGCTTACTTTTATTTTCCCCTTCCAGGTAATGAAAACTGGATCAAAAATCTCATAACTGTTGTCAAGTTTTTAGATAATTTTTAGTTTCTGGGCATTTTGAATGATTGAGACTTTGTGAATTTTCTGAATCAGTTTACACTTTTTTTTTTAAAGTTTATTGGTTATTTCTGGAACAGCTTTTACTTAATTCTTTTATAGATCTCTAAGGATAAAACTTTGTATTTTGTAGTTGTTATTTTAATCTGGCCCAAAAGATGCATCTTTCAATGTAAATTGAATCCCTTTCTTGGATTTGTTTGTTATTTATAATGGTTTCAACTAATCTTGCTGCATTTTTACAGGAATATAATTTTGATTGGTGAGGAAACAAACAAAAATGGAAGGAGATGTGAGTTCGGGATTTGGAGACAGACACAAGAATGTAGATGGGGGGAAAGTGCTGCAGAGTTTTCAGAAGAGCTTTGTGAATGTTCAAGACATTTTGGATCAGAATCGGCTTTTGATCAACGAGATCAATCAGAACCATGAGTCCAATCAACCTCACAACTTGAGTCGAAACGTTGGTCTGATCAAAGAGCTCAACAACAATATCAGAAGAGTGGCTAGTCTTTACGGTGATGTCTCTCATTCTTTTGCGAGATCAGTGGGTGGTTCATCAGAAGGTGAATCTAGTGGAGCCCTTGGGATGGCTAACCAGAAGAGGTTAAGATCTTAAGCTGATCATCGTAGATTTCATATATTCAAAGAATACTCAGAGCTAATTGATTGTGGAGAAAAAAAAAAGAAACAGAGTGTTTCTACTGTGTAATATCACAGTTTGAACTTTTGAATGATAGTTTTTTTACTACATATGTTTCACTAAGATGATTTTCAGATTATCTTAATTGTGTCTTTTTTTGGTTTACATTGAAAACTTATAGTTCTTCAACCAAATTGAAGAAACTTGCTGTTAATTTTACACATTTCAGCTTATGATTGTTCTTTTATCCCTTTGCTCTCTTCATGTGTATAGCCTGTGAATTTGTAGTAATGGATCGTTTCAGCTAAATATGGTGTACTATGTTGTATCTGAATCATTTTTGCCTTGCCTCACAATCTAAGTTTTCGAACCTTTCACGTTTTGAAGAATACAGTAAGTTCTTATTTACAGATTATGTTTTTGCTTCTTTTTTGACAAGTCTGCCTTGAGTTCTTGATATAGCCAAGTAAAAGCTGAAATGCATCCATAGTGAAGGTTTTAAACAAACAAGGAGGAACAGAATCGACTCACTGAGAAGTGGCTTAAGTGGCCAAACACTTCGAGCTCAAATAACTATCATCAATATCCTTACATATGAAACGATACACAGAAGCTGTTTCTGTATATATAAGTTCGTGCATATGTTTCACAGTGTCATAGGAACCGTTCCTGAATAAAGACGTAGAGAGAAAGAGAAATCATGGTTCGATTTCTAGCTACGCTGCCTCTTCGCCAAGAGATGTCTCCCACTCACTATCCCTGGTGGGTATAGATCATTAGTCTGGTCTGAACCAGCACTGCGTCCCACATCTCCATTGCTAAGCTGTAAACCTATAAGACAATGACATTGCTAATCTTAACAGTTGTAACTTTATTGTTCCCCAAGTGTGAATCACCATATCACCAATTGCTTATTTATAAAAAAAAGTTGTATTTTGTTAGAAGCATAGCCACTAACTCTTTTCTTACCCAGCCATTAAGGTGAGGTAAGAAGGTATCAATCAGACTACGTCTAACAAGTAAACACATGTGTATACATCTCTTTATATAATTACCCTTCTTGTAAAACACGCATTAGCATTGTTGTGGCTCTGCCATCTTATATTTTCAACATAATTCACATTCTTTAAAGTCCACACAATCTTCAGAGTTTTGATCGAGTTTCACGCTTTTTTTAAGAGTTTCACGCATGTTAAGATGAATTTCTGTAAAAGAAATGATTAGACATGTGCATACGTAAGCACATGATCTCAAATGAAGTCCTACACTGACTGGCACACATGATCTCAAATGAAGGTTGCACCAAGTAAAGAATAATCAGAAATGACGTCAGTGATGACCCCAGCATAATAGGCAGGCAATCCTACATGTAACATGTGTTAACTATAGAATATGATACCATGTAGATACTCGTTACGTGAACTCAAATGAAGGTTTGCTCGAACTTTTTTTTGACCCATTTATATTTGTTTAATTCTTTTGATGTTATCATAACCTTGACATCATTATTTACCTTTAGAGATTGTGAAATCTTTTGATACTATACATAAAATAGTTTAATTTTTTATTTCCTTAAGACTTTAACGGGTGGCTATTAAAAATATCTAAAATAAAAATAATGAAGAAGAAAAGAATTCTAAGAAGGAAAGAAAATTCGCTAATTATCAGTTTTTCAAGTTTGATAAAATTTTCTTTATTTTCTATTTTCTTAAAGCATGTGAGAAGAATAAAACATCTGTAAAAAAGTATCAAATAAAATAATGTAAATTTTTAAAGAAAGAAATCTTTTATCATTTTCATTCATTCTTTTGCTGCCATTTGAAACCTTAGTCGAACATATGAATTCTTTTTTAGGTATAAATGTTTTATCTGATTAGATTATTTATCATCCTTTTATGTAACTGTAGAATAAATAGATAAATTACCTGAAAACTGTGAAATTTTATTACTCTAATTTCAGTATTCAAAGATTGTAATGATTCCAACGTAAAACACACCCAATGAAAGAAATACACAAACAAAAAGCAAGCACGTCGCAATAATTCAAGTCAACAATACGTCCATTTGTTTTTAACTTTGGCGTTGGAAAGTAAAAGAGAAGAGAGTGACAGAGAGACTTTAACATAAGCAACATACCAAAAACCAAACACATCCTTTTGTTTTGTCTCTGTTAGGTTTGTCCTAATGCTCGTGTCGTGTCAATGTGATGTTTTTTTGCTTTGTGCATGTGTTTTGGATATTTGAACATTCCCCTCACAATCAAACTATAAACAAAGTCAACAATTGTCACTATTATCACATTTTATCTTAAAGTAAATCTTAATGATGAGTGCGATTAGTGCAACTATATATTTTCCCAACTTGACTGGTCCAACTAGTTAAATTGATCATCACAGCTCTAAAGTGTTTCTGAAGTAGTAGCAAAAAGAAAATTCAAATATATCACATCATTTACAGTTATTTTAGCACTCCGGTATGCCGTGTTGTGAAAGTTCACTTCATACACATAATAAACTATTTAAATGATTTCTTTAATGTTTCTTTTTCTAAGCGGGGAAATGATTTAAAATCTAATAAATAGTTTATTAAATGAAATCTTACAAGTCTTCGAAACTTCATTAATATGAATGTCTCTTTGCTTTTTCCTGTCACCTTGATCCCAATGCGACATATACCCATATGAAATTTGAAATGTAAAACATGTAATCAATTAACTATATCCAACCAAATTGAACTAGAAAAATGCCTTAATAAATGGTTGATAGTTATGGGACGCCTCTATGTGGGTCATACTAGCATCTCCCCTCACGTTTAAATTCTGACCGTTCGATTTCTTAACGACTCCCTAAGTGATTTTAAAAAGTCAAACTAATTGAACGATATTAGGCGAAAGAACAATCCTATTGTTTACATGTTACTTACACAGTTACACTTTTTTTTTAACTAACATTTTTTTTTTCAGCAAACTACTTGGTTTCTTTTAGATGGATACGAGAAAAGTATTAATTAGTATATATGTCATGCATTGATTTGGTTCGTACAAACAATATGTTTGTGATTATATACTCTGTGATTATGTCATGTAAAAATTCAAATAAGAAATGAGACACATCTAAAACAGTTATATAGCAACATGTAAAATCGTAACACTTGATATTGTCCGGTTTATAGTGATATAACTAGTCCGAAAAGCATGTCGATGCCATCGATATACAATCACAAATGTTCTTTTACCTATGTTTTTGAAAAATTTTCTTTGCGAAACTCATTTTCAAAATTTTGGTTGTATTTATATAGTTGCTCCAATAAGTAAAAATTGTTATATATCTAGGCTCTCTGTACAATGTATCGTCTATATGCATAATCTTTGCAACTATGTTCAACTAACTGAATAATGGATTGATGAAAACGATGACTTCAAAAGGTTCCGATAAGCTGACAAATCAAAGTTCCGATATACTTTTTTTATTTTTATTATATTAATTTCAACCCATTAAAACGGGAATTTAGGATCCAGTTACAAGTCTAATTCGAACAAAATCTCCTAAGTCAATATATTACAAAACTATCTTCGCCTACCCACTAAACTAGACACCTTTTGAAATTTTTAGGACCCGTTGACCGTTCTCAGCCGTTAACGGTTACCATGAGACCGTGAGGTTCTCCTCGTTGCCATAGGTTCCAATATACTTCAAAAATCAGTAGATGTAAACTTAAGTGTACCAATTCTTCTAATAGGTGTCATATTATATACTGTATAAGAAAGTAGGGCGAAGAATGAGTAAAATAGTACAAAGTAGGTCAACATTGTGCACGGGAAAAGTAAGTACACAGTGATGGGCGAAAAACTCGATAAAGGTCCATAGAATCATGGAGGGTGATCCCATGTGATTATCCTTGCAACCTAATTTTACTTTAAAATTATATATATCTATAATAATAAAGTTGAGTTATCTGCCCCCACAATCAGCCACGTCCTTTTTTGATATGGGGGTTTTTCGACACGTGTCGACCTATGGTTGGCTGTAATTTTTTTTTTTGCGAGATTTAGAGAAACTGGACCTTCTTCGCCTTTACGTTTTCTCCTTCACTTCAACTTACAGTTTTTTCAGATCTTCCTCAAACACATATTGAATTCACTTATCATGTTCTAATGTACATGAATCACTCTGATTTCAGAAGCGTAAGTTGGAGGATGAACTGAGGCTGACCAAATCGAAATTACTTGCTACCAAAAGATCAATGCAAAGAGATGTCCCTTTTGGCACATCTAAGAATCCCAACTTTGTCTTTAGGTATTGTGAGTTTAGCATTTATTTTCAATCAATCATCATAGACAATCTGTTTCTACTTCATCGCATCATGACCCTTTTTTGTCTGCTTGATTTCTCATCTCTAAGGTTTGAACGGGGCTGTGTGTGTGTATTTGAGAGATTGATGTTATAACTCAAAATCTATGGCCGTTTCCAATGCAGTCCATGTCAGTTCGAAGCTTCAGAGATGGTATCGGATACATATGATCAGTCTTCTTCGCCTGCCGATTTCTGCGTTGAATGGTCAATAGGTCCAGCAAAGGCCTTATCCAGAGAGTGCGTTGCGAGATTCTGCGTCCAATGCAGCCAGCATCTCCGCTCCGCTGCAGCTCAACACTTCTGCTATTGACAGTTCAAAATCTGCTTTTTACTCATCTTTGTTTGATATTCTCTCCTCTTTTCTCCGTTTCACCAACAAAAAAAAATGCACTAGGTTCTGTTTATTGAGAGCTTTAGCAAGTCGTGAATGCAATATGTAAGTTAGATTTTAATTCTTTCTTCTTAGGGTTGGAAAATTAGTTTGAATATCCATGTAATATGTGCAACTCAGCTTAACTGTGATCTCAAATTTGTAAGCATGAGATCTGAAATTGGTTTTTCTGTGTAGGTTAGTGACTAATCTTCAGGTGGGACTAGCTCGGTCGAAGAACCTTTGGTTAAGGAAAAAGACCACAGTCAAGAATACTACTCTGTTCTTGCAGACATTCCCTTGTGAGCTCTTTTTTCTGTCGTTTTTTATTGTTAGATAGTCATAGCACCACCAACTGTGGTCACACAAAGATTGTGGTTGCTATTAACAGAATATTGTCAACGTTTCTTCTATAAAAAAGCAAATGTTTGGTTTGCACATGAGTCATACCAAGAAGACATTTATTGCAGGTTTCTCTTCCCAACTCTTGGAGCTTTGATTTTTGGTTATGAGATTGGTGCTACTTCTTGTGCCATTATTTCTATTAAGGTAAAAGCTTCATCTTTTCCTAAAACTGTGC